CAGGCAGAGCCATGGGACCCCCTGCAGCCCCCTCACCCTGAAAGGGCCACATGTGCGTGGTCCCCTGCAGAGATGGCCTGGGTGGAGAAGAGCTGCATGGTTCTTCCTTCCGAGCCCAAAGCCACGAGAATTTTGATAAAATGGATGTTTCTTGCGAAAATCATTAACGGGAAGGGGGGGGAGGAGGCTAGAAGTGGAGATTTTTCAGCAGTTTGAAGCTGGTTGTAGCAGGGAGGTGCACTTTGCACCCACCATCAGCATTTAAAAGCCGGGATTTCCATCTCCGCAATGCTGGACTCTGGGCTTGGCTTGTTTGATGACAAGGGTTGGTCCTTGGGTGCAGGGGAGGACACAGACACATCGCTGTGTTAACTCTTTCAGCCAGACGGGGGCAAAACCGACACGGCCCAAAGGGGCTGGGGGACGGGGGCTCCACGTGAAGCTCCCGGGACCCCCTCGCCTCCCACGAGTTGGGCAGGAGGAGATCTCACCCCAACCCCAACGCCTCTTGGAAAGCACCAAGGGGGAGATGGGAGAGTACAAACAGCTCCGTGAGGAGCTCAACATGTAAGACCTCCTGCAAATCCTCTTTTCTGACTTGGTCGTGGGGTGGAATCAGCCTGTTTCTCCGCAGCCAAGGCGAACCCTCTCCAGAGCGAGCCGTCCCTTTCGGGTTGGGGGTGGAAGCTGGTGGCTGTCACCCATCTGGAGGGGTTGGTGTCACACACAGGGGGATTTCAGCCTGTGGCTTCTGGCCCGGGGGAGGACTTTGCGGTGGGAAGCCATGGCTGGGAAGCCTGGAGAAGGTATTAGGTACTGGGAGGGGGGGGAGGATTCTAACTCCTCCCTTGGCTGTGCCTCCTGGTGTGGGCGAGGAGGTGAGGGCCATCAAGTTGGTGCAGGAGCATGAGCCGATTCAGCAGAAGCTTTTCTACACCAGCTTCTTGGACAGCCCTTACCCCAGCGAGGTCACACTGATGATGTGTGGGGACATCATCTCCACTTTGTCCAAACTGGAGGAGGTGGGAGCACAACCTGCCAGCCCCAGCCCCCAGAACTCAGACCCTCCCCGTACCCCAGTGTCCCCGTCCCAAGGGTCACCCAGCTGAAGCCAGCCCAAGGCAGCCAAGCGACACCAATTTATCCACCCTGCTGGGCACAGTGTTGTCTTTGTGCGCTGAAATGGAGACAGCAGTTGCCTTCTTCCCGCAGGGGGGAAGATGAAGGTCTGGGTGGGTTGAGCTGCCAAGCTCAGCCGTGCTCCTGGCAGAGGGACATGGACGTGGTGACTTTACGTCTGCCAGGCTTTTTGTTCTGCCTCAGAGCTCCTGCATGGTGGGAGGCAAATGTCTGTCCTGGATCAGAGGCTCCTGGCAAATTTTTGGGTGTCCCCTCCCCTCAAGCTGAGTTGGAGTCTGGTGTGTGTGTGTCCATCCATCTGTCTGACTTCTTTGCAAGAAAGTCCATCTCTGCACCTGCACATCCTCATCCCAGACCTGGACACGAAGTTGCCTTATGCTGGAGAGGAGATCGATGTAGAGGAGGAAAGAATGGGTGGAGAGGGACCAGGGGATGGAGGGCAACCTGAGGGTGGAGAAGAACCAACTGCTGTGGCTCAGTGGCCTCAGCAGGATTAAACTGTGGCTCAGCTCAGTGCTTGTGGTGGCCTTTTACTGGTCCCAGTAAGTCTCAGAGTTGCCCTTGCTCAGGGATTTGCCATTGCCTCGGTGCTTTCTGCCACTGCCACACCCTGAAATCCCCCGTGGGCCCCACGGGGAGCCCGTCACCCTCTCTTTCTCCCTCCCCTTTGCCAGAAGGACCTGGCGCACCCCAAGGACCGGGTGGGTGGCTGATGGCTGGGACTGGGGACAGTGGGTGGTGGGTTGGGTGAACTGCTGTGAGCAAACCAGGGGCCAAATCTGCCCACGCCGAGTCCTTCTGAGGTCCCTGCCCGCCCCTCAGATAGAGCCGACCCCTGCCCGCTCCCTGCCTGTCACTGGGGGGGGTGGGTTTGCTGCCAGGGCTGTAGGACCCCAAAATGTTCTGTCTCCACAACAGATGCAAACTCCCCCCCCGCCCCCGATGAGGATGGAATGGGGGGGCGATGGAGAAGGGGGGGGTGTCCCAGCCCCCAGGCTGGAGCCCACCAGATTGGGAGTGGTGTCCTGTAATAAATAAATAATTCATTAAAAAATAAATCCCAGCGCCGATCCTAATTCCAGTGACACCCCTCCCATCCCAGGCGCCCCCCCTCCCCGGAGCAGGTTTTCCCGAAGAGGCCACGCCTCCTGATTTGCATA